TAGGGTATTGCTGTTCTTGTGTTTGTGCAATACTCAATATCTCCACTGTAAAATATAGACTTTCTTACTGAGACAGTTGTGTACTTCACCTGAAGTCACTAGTGATATTGTAATAAAATGTCAAAAGTTTTTTCCAGACAGAGATAGCATTGAGGCACATAATGACAACCCTGTCGGGAAGCTGCGCAGACTGCCCGGAGAAACGGGAAGGAGTTTCACAATAAGGATCAACAGTGCCATGAAGGCCATTCACACTCCTGCTGATCAAGAACACTATCCAGTAAGTTTCATACAAAATCTGACATTTGATCTGGGGGTTTCCAAAAAACCATTTCATACAAACTGTATAGAAATAGTTCAAAAACACAGCAACACTGTCAGCTATTTCTCCACTGAGTGATATTGTTGTAATCATTATTATTTGTGTCTGTTATTTAAATTTTTGGTATTAATAATTGATATGTATTTGTGATTAACATTGCAAGTACTTGATGATGCCGTGCTCGGAGTTAACCACCTGCACAGTCTGCTCAATATCAGACAAATATCAGGTTTTGCATAAGGAAAAATTTAGCTTATTAATTGTGAAACTTATTTATGTAGTTGGACATAGAAATGGAAGATATAAAGGGTGAGCAGATGGCACTACAGAGAGCCCGACGCAAGAGGAAACAGAACAACGCTAGGACCGGTGACGGCGGCGGCGAGGAGCCCCCGCCCAAGCCGAGCCGCGCCCAGAAACTTGCGCTGAAAAAGAAGGCAAAGAAGGAGAAGGCTTTGGAGGTTACATCCTTTAACAAATTTATTAATAGATGTGTATGTAAAGCCTTTTCATTAGAAGCTGTCGATGCGTCGCAGTGTGCCGGGGCACGCACACATCTCGCAGCATCCTAGCATCCCAGCATCCCAACATCTCTCAGCTACACCTGCCACTGACATTACACAATGTATGATGCGTGTGACGTCACTCGCTCTGTCGCTTGGTCCGCAGCGCGGTGCGGGGGCGGGGGCGGGGCCGGGCGAGGTGCGCCGCGAGCGCGTCGCGTTCGGTGAGGTCGCGCACGCGCCGCCCGCGCTGCCCGTGCGTCCGCGACACGCCGCCGCCCGCAGCGACGGCAGCGACCGCAGGGTCAGTACACGCAGCTAACACTTATTGCAACATAATATTGTTAGACCTCGTGTCATTCTTATAATATAAATTGCAGCCGGGGTGCAAGGAGCTGCTGCTCAGCGCCATGCTGCGGGGGGGCCGGGGGGCGCTGCCGCCGGCGGAGGCGGAGCGACGCGAGCGCGCGCGCCTGGAGGCCGTGGCGGCGTACCGCGCGCTGCGGGCCCGCCCCCGCGTTCTTGTGAAATATTGAAGCTGTCTTTATAAACAACCAATATATATATTCAGCACTTGTTGTTTCACTTATAAACATAATACAAAACTGTCCATTTCTTTTGGAGCCACACCATTGGTGGTGGCGTATAAAGATGAAATACGTCAAGTAACATCAACTTATTCGCGAGTTGAGTTCCGCATTAGTATTATACATACAACACAGTACTTTATCCGTCATTACGAACATTTTTCTCTACATATAACCAAAATTAAAATGCAATATTTTATGCATAATTAGTGGGCCGGCTCGACTGCTGCCACCCAAATTTCATAGGAAGAAAAACACAAAACTACGAGTGTGACATACGATATGTAAATTTCAAGTAAAGTAAAGAACTGGTTTTTGACGACGTCCTTGTTATGTGTATAAAGATTAAGCCATTGGCAATGTAACTTTTGTTTGTGGCACGTATCGAAATATTTTACACACTTGGTAACGACCATGACTCAGAAACATGATTGTTACATATATCAAGTGAGAGATGGCGGCCAGGTGGTGCCGGAGCAATGTGACCAGCTCACGGAACAAGTTCACGTATGTACTATTGTTATGACAGAAAAGAGATCAGATGTACATATCGTACGTCCTTTGCTACTGGCGACATCTGTTTCGGCCCCGAACGGATTAAGATACGGTTTTGACTTCCCTGTATATATTATTTTCTGGATGGTCAGTACGTACAATTCATTATCACTAAAGTCCAGTAAACTGGCTAGCTATTTATGAACCCCATAAAATATTTCTTTTATATGCCGTGCACGACGTGCACTACGACAGGGCAGAGGCAGAGGCAGAGGTTTCGGTGCGTTAAACACATAACGTACACATGTAACATTATCTTATGTATCTGTTATTTAAATATTTTACATACAAACATCTACTGCGCTATACAAAGTCACGTGATGTATTTATCTTGCAACTTTCTGATTCTCTCGCTTCCTCACGTAACCCGTAAATTATAGACTTTTTCTACTTATATGTAAGTAGCTCAACCTTTCTCAAACTGACCCGCTACACTATTTAGAATAGAATTGTGCATATTTGTCTACGTAGAAAACATTTCGGGTTAGGTATAAACGAAACGAAGGTATGGTATAACGTAAGCCTAGTTCACCGCCTTGCGATTTATCGATTCAGTTGTCAATTTATGAAACATTTTGGACAAGCGATCGCTATCGGATGGATCTTGTAATAATGCTTGTAACGATATAATATCTGTGTAGATATTAGGTCTTCCGGCGCACGAGCTTAGTGCTGCCGCCGGTGCGGTGACGCGCCTCGCCTTATCTTGTCTCATTGATTGATTGAGTGATTGATTGACTGTTCAGTGATGGAGGGACGAGGGGGAGAGTGGGGGGGGGGCTGCGACGCCCGTTTTTGCGTCACGGCCTGAATTGTTTCTATATGTATTCCACCCGGTATTGACTCGCCGCGTGGCGTTACCTCTGGCCGAGTGGCAGTCGTCTCGACGTCGGTGGTGTAATAGCTAAGCATTGGACTCGTCCTGGGTTCGAATCCCACCCTGTACAAATGTGTTTCTGGAATTTCATTTGTTTCACACAAACAGTGGTAGAGCCCGCTTTAACATCTTCGCACGAATCGGCCCGGCTCGCCCGGTGAAATACCACGACCACACAGAAGACAGGCGTGAAGTGGAAGCAATACCGCGTTTCGTCTGATGAGTGTGCGTCCCGGAGGCCTAATCTAGTCCTCTTTTTCTTGTAAGGGAGGGATGGGAAGTGGAAGTGGACTTTCCGGATGAGAGGATGCATGGAAGGGGAGAATGTTTTTTTTCTGTGCATCCTCTCCTTCGTCGATTAAAGGTAGGCACCGCATATGCGGTTGCGTATATCTATGGGCAACGGTCACATCGCTATTTCAGCGATTTCAGGTGGCCGCTCACTCGTTTGCCACCTTATGATATAAAAAAAACGGAAGAAAGATGCTGCGATGAGATTGTAATATCAGTAATGTAAGTCAAAGATGCGAGGGATGAAAACCAATGCGCTCTGAGCGAGCGTGGTCCGCTGAGACCGACTACGACTAACTTAGGGTAGACTCGAGCCCCCCTGAGGGGATAATTGTTACACAAATTTTGTGACGACCCTCAAACTATCATGTACAGCTTACTCTCTCAAAATTCTGTTAGATTTTAAGTCAACCATGGTTAATATGTAGATGTTGTATGATATACTTTGATATATGTCAACTACAGATATTGACAATCTCTATGCGTTCTTAACGATTCTACGTTCCTTGTTCATACGAGCTGTGTAGCACCATGTGCTGATTGTTATTATTGCATAAGCCTTTCATTCGATCGAACATTTTCTCTACGCCACAACTCCGCAACCCGCAACTTCGAAACTCGCGACAACAGCTATAAGTAGGTACTGTACCAAAGTTCATATGTAAAGTAATTGACCTGTGCTCGCTTGTTATAAATACAACGAATGTAGTTGATAACCAATTCTTTCAATTTGTTCTATTAAAGTCTAGTTTCGCTTGGTACGCGTTGTTGTTGTTCGTTGAAATACGAAACATCGATCGTTATCAATAAAACATTATATTGTACAGCGTGCAGCTGTGGCGGCGCGGGGAGGCGCGGGGCGGCGCGGTGTGGTCACTTTAAACCCTAGCCTCTGCGCTGAGGAAGCATCGCTTACCCTTCCCTCGTGCGATACCAGTCGACCGTAGTTTATTCAGAATTTAGTTAAAATTGGGTTTATGTCGAAATTTAAATAGTAAGCGAGTGCCTACTACTGGCACTCAAGTTATACGTTGGAAATTCTTTGCTTAGTTTCTATTTATATTCAAAATGGAAAGATTTCGGAAGATTTTGCTTAGTGGTAACACTAAAAACTACCAGTTGTCTATCAATCTCAACTGCCGTAAGATCCTCGTCGTACTAAAACTACTAATGTAACTGTTGTGCTAAGACACATGCTCCTGAGTTGGCAAGGGACTTAACGCATCTCTTCGCTTACTGCGACAGCTCGGATCCGACGTACTGCAGGCCTATTGCCATAACTTCTTTGCTCTCCAAGACAATGGACTCTATCATTAATTGCCAGCTGATGACATATCTGGACGAGCAATAGCGGTATATCTAAATAGTAACGACCTAGGGTCATCAAGGAAAGATAATAGTGTACTTCTCCTCAAAGAACGGCAAAGCATCTGCAGTTTTTCTGCTATAGGGAATGTCGTCAATCGTCGGATCTAATAACTTTTGGCGGCACTCTGCTCGTTTGTATCCTTCCCCTTTTTAAAAAATTCCTAGAATTTACTTGTCCCCTGCGTACGCAGTGGTAGTTTAACAGTGGTAGAGCCCGCTTTAACATCTTCGCACGAATTGGCCCGGCTCGCCCGGTGAAATACCACGACCACACAGAAGAAAGGCGTGAAGTGGTAGCAATTCCGCGTTTCGTCTGATGAGTGTGCATCCCGGAGGCCTAATTCAGTCCTCTTTCCCTTCCCACCCTTTTTCTTATAAGGAAAGGATGGGAAGTGGAAGTGGACTTTCCAGATAAGAGGATGCATGGAAGGGGAAAATATTTTTTCTTTCTGTGCATCCTCTTCTCCGACGATTAAAGGTAGGCAACGCATATGCAATTGCGTATGTCGTTGGATAACGGCCACTTCGCTATTTCAGCGATATTAGGTGGCCGCTCGCTCGCTTGCCACCTTATAATATATAAAAAATAAACGCCGCCGCGGTCGTATGAGACACTCTTTCCTCGCCCTCGATCTCCTTACCTTTGGTGCATTCCTCGGATCAGACTACGCGCAACAGACGGAGCGGAGAAGAAGCACTCGACGGCGCCTTGAAAAAACAAACATTTCGCCGGAACCAAAAACGAGTGGTGCGAACTGAGTCAGCAAGCATGTGCGGGGAGCGGTGCAAAAGGCGTGCGGGGATTTGTCATGACTCCGTTCTTCTATGCAATGTAGCGGTCAGTTCATTGATAACGCGGAACATTTTGTAACATATCACCCTTGTTAGTTCGTTACAGAAAACGAAAATGTGTTATACTTGAGTAAGTGAGTACTCTTACTCACTTGTATTATGATTTTCAAAAATCTCAGCGATTCGGAACATCATACGGGCGTTTGCGCAGGGATGCGAAGGGAGGCGCACTACGCTGAACACAATGGGGCCGAGTGGAGTATTCACACAACAACACCTTAAGGCAAGGACAAGTGTGACAAGGCCGCGATCGCTGCGCCTGCAAATTTTCCATTCGATCCGCGAGTTAGTTCTGCGACTGTGAGTGAGATAAGCCTCAGTGCGATGTCAGATCGCCGATAGCGATTTTCGTATCAGGAATGCTGGCGGCTGCCTGCTGCCGACTGGCTACCGACCTGGTATGTTTAAATCTTCGCTTCATAATTTATTGATGAATGTTTGTCTACAGTATAAACTTTATAGTTATTCTTGTTTAACTCATAAAATAAATTATTTTATGTAGCAAATGTTAATTTCTTTATTTATACATAATTTGTATGGTCAATAAAAGATTGTTATCGTCGTCGTCGTCGGGCGAACGCCGTCTATGACCACGGACGATATGCGAACGAAAAACGAATGCGGAAAATAATACGAGAACTACGTAAAGCGACACACATTTCCTTATAGCACGTTTTAAATGGAAAAATATTTTGTTATTATAATTTTTAATTTATATGCTAATAATAATTTTAGGTGTTTGACGAAGTGCGAAGTGTGACGTCAGCATTCTGCTGATGTCCAAGTTTAAGGCTAAGTTCTCATGGG